AAAAGTATTCATTAACATAGCTGTAAGTCCAGCAACCAAAACAGTAAGAGCTGATGCTAATGGCCGAGATGCCATGCTCTTTAATGCATGGCATAAACTCAGAGTGCTGTGTAAGAAAGTACAATTGCTAATGAAACAGCAGCGACTTTCCAGATCCTAATGTCACTTATATTCTTTTTGGTGTCTTTCCATTATCTCAACTGCTGCCAAAGTTGATGTAAGAAGAGCAAATTTCCCATAAACAAACATGATTATCCAGGAATTTGGAGGCAACTGGGCATGCAAAAGATGCCTCCTACCTCTTCCATACTTGTGTCTTATTTGCTTTCTGTGCTTTGGGTATGAGACGATTCATGCCCCAAGTTCTCCAAGCACATACTCATCCCCAAAGCAGGTGGAAGGCTGGACAAGTGACCCTTCCTAGTCTTGTAGCTAGGAATATATGGGCACAAGCAAGTGTAGGGAAGGTGCGGCCCCCGGTAGACTTCCACTGGGATGTTTAGGCTGTTACAAGAGCCCTCAACACTGTATGGGTTGTGTTCCATGAGGCAGGCAAAGTTGACATCTGCTGCCAGCATGGGCCAGCCGTACCAGCAGCAGCACACCCTTGTACTTGCTCTCTGGGACTGTCAGTCAGGCTGGAAAGTACAGCAATCCAATATTTGCTTTGTATTGAAGGGCCAAAGGAAGGGAATGTGGGACTTGTCTTCCTATTAGGGGAGCTCACTGAAGCTGTGTCTGCAGCGCTGACAGTGCTTGTGGAGCTTGCCACAGCGCTGAGGGATCACTTACCTGCAGGGTGGCTGTTGCACAGTGTTGAAGGAGCTACTTTTTGTGCCATTCCCTATACAGCTCTGGCATGTTCCAGCACTTTTTGGTTGCTGAAGGAGCTGATCCTGGTCATTCCTACAGCCCCTCTCTTGCCAAATAAAAATTCAGGTAAGAGAAGAGCCTTGGGATCCTTCCAGGGGTGAGCACTGTTGTCTTTACAAGCCAGTTACCAAGGGTGAGGTTTTTCAGATCACTTTGAGATGATTTCCCCTATGAGTTTTAAATTTGAAACGCATCTCGATCTTCTCAGATCAATCTGAAAAGAATAAGCCTGAGTGCCCGAGGGTTTGTGTGGCAGCAGCAGGGCTTGTGTGGCCCCTGGAGTGCCACACTCTGCGGCAGCACAGCTTGGTGGAGGGGCACTCTGCTGCAGTCTCTCGGGGCACTGGGGGAAGAGCACGCCTGTGTCTCATCTTCCTTGAACGCTGGGATGAAGATTCAACTGCATTTTAAGAGGTCTTGAGAATCTTAGGAGAGAATTGGAGTAGGGATACTGAATTACTGTTATCTTTACTTAGAGACAATAACGAACACAGCTGTTTTAACGTGGCTGAAGCAAAAAGGGAACTTAGGCAAGTTTCCAATATCCTCTCAAGTCACCCTGCTCCAATGCTGCTGGAAGTATAATTTCCACCCATCCTTGTCGCTGTAGCTATGTGTAACAGCACAAGGAGACGATGTTGTGAGAGAGAGGGTAGAAACTGCATCACTTCCACAGCCTGGAGTCAGACCTGCTTGTTCGTGTGCCAGGCTAAAGGACGCAGGGAAATGCCAGCAGCCAGTCTGACGTAGAGCACACAAGACGGAGGCGTATTGAAAGATGTGTTGCTACCAGTATATTCACTGGAGCATGTAAGGAAACAGAAAAAGGACTTTTCCAAGGATATTGCAAGAATATAGAAGGATTACACAAACATGCAATATAAACATCTTGTTACCGTATTTACCCAGATACCCAATAATATCCAAAGTGTTACCTTGTAAATTGTGTTTGTTTACACTCGCATACGGAAGTTGCAGCAGAGGCTTGCAGCATTACTGTATGTACTGGAGGAGGATATTAAGTTTCCTATATCATTGGGAAAGAAGCCAGAATCGCTTCCCTCCCTCGTCCCCTCTGCAGAGTTCCTACAGATTTGAGCCCTCTGTACTGCTAACATTGAACAAAATGGTTGTATTGGAAGGAGGGGGGTTGTGTTCTAACTTTAGCAGAAAAACTGTTTTGCCATCAGACTACTCCACAAAGCAGAGCCAGGCAGCTGAAGAGAAGTGGAAAACAGAAAAGCTACAGCAAAAGACTGCTGTGAGAAAGAGCTTAACAGCAAGGGATGAGGAAAGTCAAACAGCCTGAGAACCATAATGTAAAATGAGTGTGGGGGTCCAGCAGCATTGGAACGAGAAGCAGATATGGACAGAGAGGGTGGGTGGAATTAAAGATCAGGTGGAGAGTCTACCTGGAAGGACAAGCTTGTCCCCCTTGGTTGTTTCCCTCTTCGCTGAGGGTGGATGAAGGCTTAGGATGACATTCTGTCTGTTGGTTAAAAGAAGCTACAGTTCTTGTTTCCTGGCTGGGGCTTATCTTTAAAATAGGAATTAGTTGGCTAAAATAGAGTGAGCGGGTCTAGTACAAAGGACCGATGACAGCAGTATTTGTCCTTTTAGCATGTCAGAGGATATTTTAGCTGTATCGGCAACTTCTAGTAGGCTATCTTTGGTAAGGAGGTGGCTGGCCAGGTGGCCATCTGACACTAGAAGGCAACTGCCTGTCTTTAAGAGTCCCTATGTTCCTGTAAGAGAGCTGCAAAGGACTGAAGATTTTACTTTTTATACGCCTACCTGAAACCACCTGAGAATGTCGGTGTGATGAAATCACTGATGACATTATTCAGATACAAAGGAACTTTTTTTTTTAATTAATAAAAGAAACAATGAATAACAATCTTCTAGCACACACATGGTAATTAGTTTGCAAAACTGGTGCAATAAGTGCAAGAAGCTGACAGAGTCTGTCTATTCAGTTAAAGAATCTCAACATTTTGATGCCAGCTGAGTGTGATGAGACAGGCTCTTCCATGTGTGCAAAGGTGGACCTGATAGATCAGCAGGCAGAGCGAGGCTGGAGACGAATTCCCTTGCTGTGAGTGCCCTCAGTCTTTAAGTAGCAAGGATTTCAAACGACATGGGATTTATGAGATCAAACGTATGCTTTGAGTTACGCTTGGCAATGAACTGGTAGCCAGTGCATTTGAAGACCATGCTTTCCTCTTGGCAAAGGGCCGTGCAAGGCAAATGAATGCTGACATAGCACATCCTAAAACAATGAATAATAGCTGTACTAACTGCATTCCCATACTGAGGGGGGAACACAGCACAGGAATGCAATCCCATCAGTTGTGCCCCACCATTTAAGAAGGACGTTCAGGTCCTCGAATGCGTGCAGAGGAGGGCAACAAAGCTGGTGAAGGGCTGGAAGGCATGTCCTCTGAGGAGCGGCTGAGGACTCTGGGTTTGTCTCGTTTGGAGAGGAGGAGGCTGAGGGGCGACCTCATCACTCTCCACAGCTTCCTGAGGAGGGGACATGGAGAGGGAAGTGCTGATCTCTTCTCCCCGGGATCCAGCAACAGGATGCCTGGGAATGGTTCAAAGCTGCAGGAGGTTCAGACTTGACAGTAGGAATCATTTCTTTACCAAGAGGGTGTTCAAACCCTGGAACAGGCTTCCTGGAGAGGTGGTTGATGCCTCAAGCCTGTCAGTGTTGAAGAGGCATTTGGACAATGCTTCTCAACAGTCTCCAACGGAGGCTGAAACTGCTTGACTAAGTGGTAATGTAAGGCAAAATGCCACTAGAAGGCATTAATGCTGCAGAGGAAAGCACTGGGGAAGGGGATGGCAAAAAGCAGGGCTGCTTGCACAAGCTTAGCTTGGCTCCCGCACGGGAGCACAACTGCAGTCTAAAACCCAGCCTGCCCTGTAAGAACCGGCACGTACGTGGCAGCAAAAGAAATGAAATAGAAAATAAGGAGTAACAGAAAATTTCAGAAGGGCATTTTTATTCTTCTTTTCAGTTCAAGTGGAAGTAATGTTCAGTAAATAAGGTCTTTCACCATACATTGAACAACAAAGATTAAAACTGTTAAAGAGATACTTGTTCCATAGACATTGTCCATTCTATGTACTGGATAAAATGGAGCCCTGTGCTAAAAAGTGCGTGTGCAATAATGTAATTCAAGGTTGTATCCTTCATAGCAAAAAAGGGCCAAATTTAGATGACACAAGCAACCTTTATTTCTGGTATTTTCGAAGTTTCGAATGTTTGACTTTGTAAACATAAGGTTCTTTTCTGTCTTACATGCAGTTTTTAATGGGTGAATTCCTGGAGTTACAAAATAGCAAAGTGTCTCTTTGCCCTCTCCCTTCTCAAATCCCATCATCTGAGTATTGATGTCATCGACAAGCACCATTAGAAAATTTATCACTTCAGCTAGTCCTTTACAGTAGTCATAGAATAGCATTCCCCATTTCTCTACCTGGTCAAATGGTATTTAGCTACAGGGGAAAATGGTTGGAAAGCTGCCATTCCTTCCTTGTCCTCAGCTGCTTTACATATTTTCCATTCCCGTCGCCTGCTTTAGGAAGGAAGCGAAGTTCCAAAGGAACTGTTACACATCACTGAACACAACCTTCTGGGGTGGGAGGGGAGGGGGGGGGTTATGTTTGTTTGGGGTTTTTTAACCTGTTTCTCTTCTCCCCTTAAGAAAGTTACTGAATATTGGTATAGAAGGGCATGTTGGTAGTGGCTGAGAAGGCAAAGGAACCAGGCCTGGTAACCAAAAAGGTCCGGGAGTTCTGGGCAGGAGAAGGCCTGGAAACAGGCGAGGATCAAGGTCATTTCTTTTTCACACAGGATGCGCTGCTGCTTTTTCAAAAGGTCTTTCCTTGAAGTGAAATGAGCCACTTGGAAGCACTCCATAAATTCTTGGTTGCACTGGGTGGGAGCCTGGCACAGGGACCGTGTTTTTCATGTCCTGCCTTAGCTTAAGCACTAATTTACAGAGTTCTTGCAGTGCTGAGTCATGTGTTACCATCTCAGGATGGCTTGGTTTAGAGCTGACCTCCTCAGACCTGCAGTCATGACAAAAGCTTCTTGCATTTGAGCTGTCTGGTTCTAGTATTTCTATGCATTTGGCATTGTTCCAATGAGCTTGGTGGACCCTGTGGAGCTGGTGAAACAGCCACAGGACATCACCAAAAATCTGTACCGAAAATCGCGGAAGGAGGCTCAGAAGACCAAAGCACCCCTGTGTGCAGAGGTACCACTGCCTTCTCCCCCATGTGTGCACTCTGGCTTCACTCCCTGTGTTCAGGGAGCTTAGAACAGTGTTTGGCTTTAACCTTGGACTATTGCTGGGTTCAGGTTTCTCTGTCAACAATTTGCATCAATCAAACTGTGTAGATGTGACGCATGGGATTTTATGTTGCAGTTTGCCCTCTTCTTCCTGCAGGTCTGCATGGTGATGCTGTAGTTAGATCTGCTTGCTTGCCAGGACTGTTACCCATGGGCACCTCAGCATGCAAGGTCTTGTTCTTTCTGAGCTTGTAGACTACAACTCAGTCCTTTGCAGTTGGCCCCTGCCTTTCTCCCCTAGCCTGCTGGTTACTCAGGTGTTACTTTATTTGATGTTGCATTTCCACTGTATCCCTTAATGCTGGGAACTGTTTTTTTCTCAAGTGTCCTAAGTTACCACCTTCGTGCTCCTTTAAATATCGATTGCTTGCCACCTGGGGGCAGAAGTGCTCCTTCCTGGGGCCTGAATGCTGAGCTGTTGGTGTCAGCAGCTTTGAAATCCCCAACTTTGTCATTTGCTCATCAGACAAGTTCATCTGTGTAAGGCCCAAATTGTCTTCCTGTGCAGAGCACGTTTTGCCCTCTACGCACTGTGGGATACTATGCTCATGCCGACATTTGAATAGCTGTGCTTGTGGAGAAACCAAACTGTGAAAGCATTGCGTGCGTGTGTGTGAGGAAATACTGAGCCTGAGTTTAGAGTTGAGGTAGGCTTTGCTGGACCAATGTGTCAAGTAGGAAGTGCAACACACTGCTCTTCAGTCTTTCTCCCTAGAGCATGCACACAGAGCGAAGGGCTGGCTCCTTCCAGCTGACAGCATGGGTGGGCACAAGGATGACAGACACCTCCTGATCCCTTTACCTGGAACAACCTCCCTGCCCCCAGCTGAGACTTGCCATGTTTTTCAAGCCCTGGCAGCAAGGCTTTTAACAGAGTGATCAGTCAATAACTGGATGGGAGCAAAACTCCTTCTACCTTTGAGCTGAACTATACAGTGGAGGACAGGCACAAGAGCTTGCTGAGTTTACTGGGAAAAACGCTTCCACTGTACGTGCCAGTTCTTACAGGGCAGGCTGGGTTTAGACTGCAGCTTTTAACAGAGTGATCAGTCAATAACTGGATGGGAGCAAAACTCCTTCTACCTTTGAGCTGAACTATACAGTGGAGGACAGGCACAAGAGCTTGCTGAGTTTACTGGGAAAAACGCTTCCACTGTACGTGCCAGTTCTTACAGGGCAGGCTGGGTTTTAGACTGCAGTTGTGCTCCCGTGCGGGAGCCAAGCTAAGCTTGTGCAAGCAGCCCTGCTTTTTGCCATCCCCTTCCCCAGTGCTTTCCTCTGCAGCATTAATGCCTTCTAGTGGCATTTTGCCTTACATTACCACTTAGTCAAGCAGTTTCAGCCTCCATTGGAGACTGTTGAGAGGTTAACATCTCTACAAAGCAAAGCCATCATTTTGGCACTGGCCGTGAAGTGAAAAGAGATTTGGATAATCCATAAAATCAAGCAATCCTGAATTTCCATGCGCAATATCCATCTCTCTCCCTTTAGTTCCCACAGCCATAGCCCTCCCTCCCTGTCCTCCAGTTCCCACAGTCAAACCACTCACTCTCCCCAGAGCCTTGGGCCATATCCCTCCCTCTGTCCCAAGTCCTGGGTCATGTCCCTCCCTGTCCCCAGTTCCCAGAACCATATCCCATCCTCCACCCCCAGTTCCCACAGCCATTGGTTGACGAGTCCAGACAGATCAGAGGTGGGATGTAGGTGGGCTGTGATGATTGGTTAACTAGTCCAGATGGAGCAGAGGTGGGGTGGGATGGTTGGTCCATGAGCTCTGATAGCCCTTCTGGGACTCAGCAATAAAACATGGCAGTTGAGTCAGGGAATGTGGACCTTCCCAAGCCTGTTGGCTGGTCCGAGTCACTCATCCAAAGAAGCCATGTCCTGCTTCCTGCCAGCCTGATAACCATGGTTATCTAAGTTTTTGCACACCCTGATATTAATCTTAGCCCAGTATTAGTGAATGACTGGATTTACTGTAATTTCAACCCAGGTAATTGCTGCTGATTTGCATTTTTTATGTAGTTCTGGGATCAGTTCTTCATCTCTCAAGCTTTTGCTCTGGTGTCTGTTACTGTATCCCAAACCTGTAACTTGGCCAGGCCACCTCAAGCGTCTATAGGAGATGACCGTTTGTAGGCACTGAAGTCTTATTTGAACAGTTTACTGAGGTCCTCAAAATCTCAGGAGTGTCTGTAGGCAGGAACACTCACCCCCAAGCTCATAGCCTGGTGTTCATCTTGTACCCGTGGAGGTAGGTCTGAAACGCTCTGTGCATGTTGCCATGGGGCTGTCTGGTAGTTAGCCCCATGCCAGGCTCACAGCTGCTTGGCACAGGGTTTGAGAAATGCCCCCTGAGACGGGACGTTGTGCCTCCCTGCGTGAGTGAAGGGAAGGACTGGCGCAGGTCAGAGGGGTGTGCAGGAGCTGACCCTGTTTCCCTTCTCTGGCAGGTGGGGTGGCCAGGGAGCATGGAGGAGAGTGTGAGGAGATGTGTTTTGGATACCGTCAGGCCTGTGGATGAAGAACTGGTAGAGCAGCAGTCCAGGCAGTAAGAAGAATGGCTTCCCAGGTGCTTGCATGTCTCAGCCTACATCTTCCCAGCCTCTGTCCAGAGTTGGGCAAAGGAAGCACTGAGCTGTCTCTGGTCTTTGTCGAGAACCCGGTGATGGCATGTAGCTGCGCTGGTCCAGCTGCAACTGTCAGTTGTCTGGCTGAGTGCAGCTAGAGCTGGACCATGCTGCTGTCTCCTCTGGCTCCTGAGGAGAGGCTCTGCAGGGCTGTCCTGTGCCCTTGGAGTAAGTCACTGCAGTGTGGTAGAGAAAGCTGACCCAGAATCAGGCTCTGTTCCCAGGGTCCTTGGTGCTTTCCCCTGGAAGGCTTGGCACATTTCTGAAATGCTGTGTGCAGGAAACGGGGCCTTGGCTTTGTAGACAAAAGTCAAAGCATGAGAGAAGGGCTGGTTTGTTGAGCAAGACTTTATAGGGCTGCTCTACCTGGTCCTCTCCCACATAGGTTTTGTGGTACCTACTGCGATGTCCCCTGGGCAGTGGCTCTGAGGAAGGCTGGAGCCCATCTCTCCAGTGAGCAGGAGAGCAAGGGAGAGGTCAGGCAAGTGGTGCCTCAGAGGATCTCCTCTCAGGCCTGGAAGCTAGAAGCAGAGACCGGGACAACTAGTGCTTGCTCCCAGGGGGCTCTGTGGTGGGGGAAGAAGGCTCTGAGCAATGCTTCCTGCTGATGTGTGTGTTGGAGGCATGCAGGGGGCGAGGGGCTGACTCGTTGGTGTGCTCCTGGTCAGTGACCTCCTTGGGGCCTGCAGGAGCATGGGGCCTGGCTCTGTGGGGCAGGGGAAGCTGAGAAAAGGGAATAAAGTAGCCCTGAAACTCCTCCCTGGCCTGCAAGGCCACCCTTGCCTGGCTGCGGAGCCGGAGCCAGAGGCAGTGTTGGCACCAGGGCTGGGGAGGGTTCCCAGGGCCACATCCCTCTCTCTCCCCCCCACTTTCCAGGACCATAAGTCTCCCTCTCCGCCCAGTTCTTACAGCCGTATCCCTCCCTCTCCCCCGCTTTTTGACCCACATCCCACCCTCTCCCCCAGTTCCCAGGGCCGTATCCCTCCCACTCCCCCAGTTCCGCAGGGGCAAGCAAACCGGCGTGGAAGAACCCAGGCATGACCCGTTCCAGCATCCCAGGTGTATTTATTTCCAGTGGGCCCCGGGGTGCCTGGCCACCCCACTCAGGAGCAGGGCCTGCCGCGGCGGTGCCCCTGTCACCCAAGCCCCGCTCCTCTTCCTGGACCCTCCACAGCCATGAGGCATCCTCAAGGGCCACCAGCCAGGGCTGGAGCCGGCTGCGCCCATCGCAGTCCCAGCACCAGGACAGGCTCTGGACCCACTGGAGGGGCCTGTGGGAGCTGCGCTCTGCACACCCAGCGGAGGAGCTCCAGGGCCAGGGAGCTGCGGGGCCCTGACACCGCTGCTGCCCTGCTGCCACAGCCCTGGCCCCGCATAGGGGTAGAACTGGCCCTGGGGATGGCAGGCGGAGGCCTCATCCCCCTCATCGTTGTCCTCCTCCCAGTGGAGGATGGAGGTGATGGGCTGCTGGCAGAGTGGGCAGGTGGCGCTGGCGGTGGCCCAGTGCCAGATGCATTCAACACAGAAGACGTGCCAGCACAGAGCCATGCAGGCAGGGTCTTCAAAGGGGCCCTGGCAGATGGGGCAGGTCCCCTCCCTGGAGGCGACTTATGGCAGTGCCCAGGGCAGCCAGCTCATGGCTGGACATCTCCAGTGCCACTGCCGGGACTCAATACTTTATTGGCCACTACCGGGACTTGATGCCCCCAGTGCGGCTGGCAGGACTCGACGCCTCAAGTGGTGCCAGAAGGACTCGATGCTGGCATTTATAGTTGCCCATCATAAGTGACGTCATGGGGTGAGAGGGCTCTCAGGAGCGCACCCAGGAGCTTCCCCAACCTCAGGGACAGACCTTGTGATGCAAAGCCCATCTGGCAGCGTGCTGCACACCTCTGCATTTTCTCAGGCCCCTTTCAGGTGGTCCCTATTGTTGTTGGTTGTTGTGCCAGCATCACACACTCACAGAGCAGTTGGGGTTGGCAGGAACCTCCAGAGGTTGTCTGGTCCAAGCCCCTGCTCAAACAGGGCCACCCCGAGCTGGATGGACACTGGACACCACTGAAAAGAGCCGGGCTCCCTCCCTTCAGATATTTGTAGATATGGGGAAGATCCCCCCAGCCTTCTCTTCTTCAGGCTGAACAGTCCCAGCTCTCTCAGCCCCTCCTCATCAGAGAGATGCTCCAGTCCCTTCACCGTCTTGGTGGCCCTTTGCTGGACTCTCTCCAGTCTGTCCCTCTCTCTCTTGTCCTGGGGAGCCCAGAACTGGACACAGCACTCCGCGTGTGGCCTCACCAGTGCTGAGCAGAGGGGAAGGATCCCTTCCTCCGCCTGCTGGCAACGCTGCTCCTCATGCAGCCCAGGACACCATTGGCCGCCTTTGTGGCAAGGGCACACTGCTGGCTCAGGTTCAGCGTGGTGTCCACCACGACCCCCCAGGGCCTCCTCTGCAGCGCTGCTTTCCAGCCGGGCACCCCCAGCATGTCCTGGTGCCTGGGGCTGTTCCTCCCCAGGGGCAGGACTCTTGGTTGGCCTTCAGGAGGCTCCCGTCAGCCCATTTCTCCAGCGTGTTGACATCCCTCTGAGTGGCAGCACAATCCTCTAGTGCCTCAGACACTCCTCCCGGTTCTGTAATCACCTGTGTGCTGAGGGTGCATGTGGTCACCTCACAGTAGAAGGTGATCAGGTTGGGGGTGCTTGACTCGCCCTTTGCAAATCCACGCTGACTCCTCCTGATCACCCTCTTGTCCTTCACGCCCCTGGAAATGGCTTCCCGGCTTAGGTGCTCCATCCCCTTCCCTGGGAACGAGAAGAAGCCATCTGGCTAGCAGTTCCCCAGTTCCTCCTCCTTGCTTTTCTTGGAGAGGGGAGGTGGCATTTGCTTTCTTCCAGTCACCAGGAACCTCTCCCATTGCTGGGACCTTCCAGAGGTCATGGCGAGTGTTCCCGCATGGACATGAGGAAGCTCCCTCACGGGGGCGTCCTGCCAGGCCCCTGGACCCGTGCAGGGCCAGCGTCATAGAATCATAGAATCATTGAGGTTGGAAAAGACCTCTAAGATCATCGAGTCCAACCGTCAACCCAACACCACCATGCCC